TATACACACACACACACACACACACACACATATATGCATACATATATGTTACAGTTTTTAAAAAATGTAAAGTTAAAAAAAATGTATATGGATGAGATCATAGATAAAAAAGAAAGGATGCATGATGGCAGAGTTTTCCACTCTCAGTTTCATGTCACTGCTTTTAATCTGTTTATTATCTCCATAATCAAGTATAGAGGAAGTACAAAGACTTTGAATTTGTGGCTTCTAACAGAACTAGCATGCATTTGTTTTTAAACCTTTTATCTTTATGAAAGAGGACGCAATCTTGCTCCGAGATTCTCACGATACTGCTGTGACCCAACTAACATCACAAACCTACACACCTTCCATGTTGCAAAAAGTCATGTTTCGTTGCAGCTCTGATTCAGCGGTTCACACTAACAGCTTCTATGCACATGAATGCACAAAGAATACAAGGATCTAAAGCATTGTGATATATGATTGTATCAGTACAACCCTGAATTTGAATATATTTTAGATTGTAAACAGCTCATTTTGAGGTCAACCTCAATCTGACTAACTTTTCTTCTTAACACTGAAAAATGGCTCTTATTAATGAAATGGATCAAATACCACAGCCCCTGGCCACCCACCAGTTCCTGGTTGTTTACCACTCGCTGGTTTTCCTGGAACAGTGAAGAGTTCTTGGAAAATCTTGGCTGTGCAAAGAGCGTCTCGAGCCCCTTCAGATCCCTCATATATTCAACTAGCGAGCACACACTCTTTTACTACAAAAGCCTCTGATTAGCTGAGTGCATTGTCCTTCACAGCCAAAGCATAATGCTGTAGTGTTGCGTGTGACGTACCATCTGCACTTCATCTGCTCTGTGTTTAATTAGATTGTGGGTTCAGTGGTTCAGGGAATATTTGCTGTGCGTATATCTCTCAGCTATCTCTAATCTGAACTCTTGTGCATACGGTTCTTTATGGTCATCTACACCGGATGAATTATGCAGTTTAAACATTATAATTTGTCCCACAATCTCCACCACATTCAGATCTGGCATTAACATTTGTTTCATATCCAGATATCTTAAGAAGTTTTTTTCTTAAAAGTGCGCTCACATTTACCATTGCTCATCGAAATTTTGCGGATGAAATCCAATCATTCGCTCATGTTGCTCACATGAATTTGCCATGCTGAGCTATGCTTCTTATATATCGCTACGTTATTGACCAACAATGGACCCTTTTTTTTTTTCTTCAATTTTCGCTAATTTCATGACTATGCCCTTATTTTCTCTGTAACCTTTTGCAGTACAGGTCAGGAAGTAAAAAAGTGACTGGAAAAATTGTTCTCGTTTTCTTTTCTCTCAGGACCTCTCTGGTCTGGATGATCTGTTGATCTTCTCCCCTCCGACCGACTCTTTATCCGAATACACCGTTAACAACTTAATCAACACTGAAATGCCTTCCAATGTGCCCACGATATGGGACATTAAAACATCACCAGCATCAGTCCAAGAGGTGAGGCTAATTCCTGACAGCAAATGCATTTTATTCCAGTCGTGGTCATGGCCTAATGGTTAGAGAGTCAGACTTGTAACCCAAAGGTTGCGGGTTCGATTCTCAGGTCTAGCAGGAATTGTCGGTAGGGGGAGTGAATAACCAGCACTCTCTTCCACCTTTAATACCACGACTGAGGTGAGACCCTTGAGCAAGGCACTGAACCCCCAACTGCTCTGCGTAAATGCAGAGCACAAATTCCGAATATGGGTCACCATACTCGGCCACACGTCACTTTACTTGAAATGCTAATGTTGAACTTAACCAATTGTTTACAGTAGTTTTTGGCATTTGTGCTGAATATTATTTCCGAGAAACCACACCTGTGAGTGACACACCCATAAACATTGTTCCTGCTCTGATAGTAAAGCATGTGATTTTTCTGTTAGCTTTAACTTTTTCTTTCAATCTCTTTTGTTTTTCTTTTTCCTCCTCAGTTGAATTCTAACAGGTTTCAAGGTTTAAACTCGTTGGATGACATCACTGCTATCATTAATACACCACCCATTGGAGGTTATCAGGTAACTCCCAATCAACAGTTGTTAATTGCTCTTAATAATGATATATAATAATAGTAATAAAATACTATTAAATAATAAAAATATATTTTTTATTCACAATATTTTTATTGTGTTTAAATAAATGATTTTTAAATAAAAACATAAAAATGTAATAATAAAAATACAAATATATTTTTACTAAAATATAAATATAATTTCTTTAACATGTAAGAAAGATTTTAAGGTCTCTGTAAAGTCAAACTGTCTTTCTCTTTCCGTTTTTCTTCTCTTTCTTAATCTTATCACGTGTTTACACAGAGATCCCAAACACAGCCAGAAGAGGAAGAGGAAGTCGAGGTGGAGGAGACCGAAGAGTTGGGTCATGTTGACACCTATGCAGACTACAGGCCCTCTAAATGTTAGCGTTGCTTTTATGCACACATTTTATGGCTATTAATGTCATACTGGAAGATTCATATTGTTTTCGCTCTCTGTATTGCTGTCTCAGCCAAGATAGGAATATCCCACCCAGACCGAGTGGTGGAGACCAACACTTTATCCAGCGTACCTCCTCCAGATATCACCTACACCCTGTCCATCCCAGAGACCACCATAAACAGAGGCCTGCTTTCTGCCTTGCAGCTGGAGGCCATTATTTACGCCTGCCAGGTACCCCTGACCAGCTTTGCCTTTCTTCTCCCACTTAGTTAAACATGCACAACAAAACTTTAAAAGAAAACAACGGACTGAACTCTATAATATCGTGTCCAAAATATACTGTGTTAAAAAAATATGTATTTATTTATTTAGAGGCTGTTTACAAACAACTTTTAAATTGTTTAGATCCTGCATAATCGAGTTATTTGTTTATTTATTGCTTTATTTGTTTTATTTATTGTATTTTTTTTATATATTTTGTTTTTATTTATTTATTGTTTAACTCTGAGCCTATTTACAAACCATTTTTAAATTGTTCAGATCCTGCTTTATTTATTTATTGTGTAATTTATTTTATTATTTATTTGTTGATTTATTTCATTTATTTCATGTTTTATTTTGAGGCTATTTACAAAGATTTTTTAAATTGTTTGGATCCTGCATTAATTTTTATTTATTTATGTTTTATTGTGTTATTTGTTTTATTTATTGTATTATTCATTTATTGTTTTGTTTCATTATTTATTGTCTCATTTAAAAGTTTCCCAACCTTATTTGTCTGGCAAAACTTTTATGACCGACCTTATTTACTATAAACTACCTACTGAGACTTTATGACATCTTCAAATGTTAATAATTTGGAATAATTAATTAAAACAATAAAAGCATTTAATTAAAACAAACGTATTTAATTATTTTGATATAATCAGCTACAAAGTTTTTTTTTATACTTAAAGGTGCACTAAGCGAATTTTGCCAAACGATGTTGATATTTGGAAGCACCAAAACAAACATGGCCATACCCCAACAGGACCTTGTCCCTATTTTGATAACTCCGCCCCACATGTACGTACACAACCCTGGCAGTGACGATGGCGGAATCTCCTATGCCTGCTGGCCGCAGCATATTCAAGCAAAAGCCAACACAGATTAGTTGTGTGAAACAAAGCAAAAACCACGTAACTCACCTATCAAGAAGAAACAAAGCAACCTCGCATCCAATTCCAGGCCTTTCCCGCTCCTTGAGTTCTGTCCACCGCTGGAAAGCTGCGCCAATATTTACGCGGGTCCTACCTCTTGCCTGATCGCAACCCTTCTTTTTAATGTTTTGTTCCTCCAAAATTTTCCTCTTTTTTTTTTTTTACCTGCCATCTCTCTTTCTATAGTCGATCTGCTAATATCCATCCTGTGCACTCACTGAGCGCTCTCTTCTCCCTATCATTACTAGACACGGGTGTGTTTTGGTACTGAGTCCGACACTGTGGTCAAAAGTGTTTTTCAAATATTGCTTAGTGCACCTTTAATTTTAGATTACATTTTAAAAAGTTATACACTTTCATTCAATTCAGCATCGGCATTTCTGTCATAATCTCACAAACATCCCTGTAGTTCCATCATAAAGACATAGTAAATTCAGCATCCCACTGATTGTTTGCAAATATTTTATACTTTCTCGTCATTAACAGACCATTAATATTGACTTCTTTATAACACTCTACAGCAACATGAAGTGATTCTCCAGAACAACCAGCGGGCCGGCTTCCTCATAGGGGACGGCGCTGGAGTTGGCAAAGGCCGCACAGTGGCTGGCATCATTCTAGAAAACTACTTAAAGGGAAGGAAGAAAGCACTATGGTAAGCGATCTCCAGATCCATCAAGCCCTACAAAACTCCACATCAAACACCGACTCTAGATATGTTGCCTTATCCTCCTCATCTCTCCTCCAGGTTCAGCGTCTCCAATGACCTGAAATATGACGCAGAGAGAGATCTCCAAGACATCCATGCACCCAATATACAAGTGCATGCCTTGAATAAGGTCACTATTACTGTGCAGCTCAATACAGCAGCCCTGTTAACGGAGATCACATTTCCAGTGTAGCAAATTCTCACAGACTTTCCCCGTAGCGTTTCTCAACATGGCTAACTGAAACTGTTTTCCATGCAGATAAAGTACGGAGACACAGCTACCTCAGAAGGAGTCCTGTTTGCCACCTACTCAGCACTAATTGGGGAGAGTCAGGCAGGCGGCCAACACCGAACGCGTCTGAAGCAGATCCTAGACTGGTGTGAGCCGGGTTTTGATGGAGTTGTATCCTTTGCCTTCTATGTGCAGAAAATAGTTTTTGTTGGCAGGGGGTTTCTAACTCTGTGTTGCCTTAAACCCTTTGAAAAACACTTTTCCAAAATTAAAGCAATATTAAAAATTAAATGTTATCACAATAATCGTGGCCTAATGGTTAGAGAGTCGGACTCATAACCCAAAGGT